CATGTCCTCTCCGCCCGCCGCAAAGTAGCCCTTCTCCTCGCACAGGGAGGCGCTCTCCACCGTGAAAGGGATCGTGCACGAGTCCTTGACCTTGTCCCCCGTCTCGGCCTTCCAGAAGCTGACCTGGTTGCCGCTCGCCGTCGTCACCACGTCGCGAGACGACAGCTCGATGGAGGTGACAACGTCCTTGCCCGTGTCGAAGCAGAAGGCAGCCTTGCTCGTCGTGTCTCTCACGTCCCAGACGGCAACCCCGCCCTCGCCGGCGAGGGACGTGTAGATCAAGTTCTCGTTCTCGGTGGACCACTTGGCGCACTTCACAGCGGAGCTCTGCTTTGGCAGAGACACGGGATCCGCCTCCGGCTTGGTCAGGTCGTAGATCCTCAGCTGCTTCTCGAACCCTCCCGTGCAAAGCTTGGCCGAATCCGGCGAGAAAGACACGCAACGCACGATGTGCTTGTGCCCGAACTCGTACACCTGATCCCCCGTGAGGCCGTCCCACACCTTGGCGGTGAAGTCCGCAGATCCCGTCGCCGCCAGCGTCGCCGGAGCGTTCAAGCAAGCACTCCACACCGCTCCCTTGTGCCCCTCAAACGTTCCTATCCAATCCCCAGTCGTCCCATTCCTCAACATCGGCTTCCCGTCCTTGCTCGCACTCACGATGAACACGCCGTCCTTGGTCACCGGAGAGTACTGCAAGTCCACGATGGGACGAGAGTGACCGTGACACACCATGGGTCCACTGAAACAGATTTGGATCCTCTGCTGCTGCTGCTGCTGGTTTTGTTGGTGTTGCGTTCCTTCCGAGGACGAGGAGGATGAGGAGGACGAGGACGAGGACAACTTTGGGTCTTCCGTCGTTGTCGTCGTCGTCGTCGTCGTGGCGGAGTTCTTCTCCATCGTCTCTGCTCCTGTTGTTGCTGCTGCTGCTGCCATGATGATGATGATGATGATGATGATGATGATGTTGGGTGAACGGTGAATGAATGAAATGCTTCACACAAACTCAGAGCAACTGAGAACCAATGAAGTGAAGTGAAGCTCAAAGTCCAAACGCAACTCCGACAAGGAATGAACCCACGGAAAGCTTCGTCGTCGTCGTCGTCGTCGTCGTCGTTTGAATGAATGGTTTTCTTTTTTTCTTTCCGTCCGAGTGAGGAAGAATGAATGAAAAAAGAAAAGGAATGAAAAAGCAAAGAGCAAGTTTGGTGGAAGTGATTGGGTGCAAAAGAGTTTGACTCCGTAGCGGTCACCTCGCGCTCCTCCACTTCTTCGCCTTCTTCTTCGCGATCGATCGCGATCACTCGATCACTTCCTTCCTCTTCTTCGATCGATCGATCGCCGCCGAAGGTTGAAGACCTTCTCGCGATCGATCGTGAGAGAGAGAGGAGAGGAGGGAGGAGGTGAGTGGAGTGGAGTGTTTCATGACGGGAGGAGGGACGCAGAGGGGGAAGGGAGGGAAGGGGAAGGACAAGAGGCGAAAAGTTTTGATCGTGAGCTTTCGAAGGAGCCCACTCTTGCTCTCTCTCTCTCTCTCTCTCTCTCTCGACGTCGATGTCGATGGTCTCCTCCCCCTCCCCTTGAGGAAAGAGAAACGAATGGGCAATCGTCGTTCAAGGTCTGAAACGTTCTCTTTTCTTTCTCTTGTTTCTTCTTCTTTGTTTTTGTTTGAAGGTGAGTTGTCGTAGAAGAGGAAGAGGAGGCGTTACGAGCGTTAGAACTCCCTCCTCCTTTCGGAAGGCGTGGACTTGTTTGTTTTTACGGGTTCCTTTTGGTTTCAGAATCGTTTTCGGGTTTGAAACGAAGACAACGAGGACAACGAGGACAACGAGGACTATGTTCAAGAAGGAGAGGTACCGGATCGAGCCCTTCAGGCACAGGGTGGACTTGGAGCCTGACTACAAGGAGAAGACGTGGAAGCGGCTGGAGAGCGCGATGAGGGATATCTTCGACCACAACCCGAGCAAGCTGAGTTTCGAGGAGCTGTACCGGTGCGCGTACAACATGGTTCTGCACAAGTTTGGCTCTTACTTGTACGAGAACGTGGTGAGGACGATCTCAGCGAGGTTGGAGGTTGTCGGCAGGGAAGTCGAGAGCGAGTCCGGGCAAGCGTTCTTGCAGCAGCTCGTGCACTCGTGGTCCGACTACACGAGAGCCATGCAGAACATCAGGGACATCTTGATGTACATGAACAAGACTTTCGTGAAGCAGCACAACAAGACTCCGGTGCACGAGCTCGGGAACAAGCTGTGGAACGAGAACCTGCTTCAGAGGCCCCTGGTCCGCAGCATCCTGAGGCAGGTCATCTCGGAGGCCATCTTGAAGTTCCGGGAGAGCTGCCAGGCCAGCGCCGAGAGCGGGGGCGGGGGGGCGGGCAACCACCAGGAGAACAAGCTCATCTCCGCCGTGGCGAAGATGGCCATGGACATCGGCCCAAAGGTTTACGAGGAGGTCGTGGAGGCCCCGATTCAGCAGGACACCCAGGCCTTCTACCGGGCCTTCAGCCAGCAGGCGATCTCGGAGAAGTCCTGCCCCGAGTACCTCAGGAGCCTGAGGAGGTGCCTGGAGGACGAGTCCAGGATGGTGGACATGTACCTCTTCGAGGGGAGCAAGTCCAAGGTCATAAGCAAGGTGGAAGAGGAGATGATCCAGAACCAGGTCGACGTCATGATCAACATGGAGGGCTCGGGCCTCCTGCACCAGCTCAAGGGGAGGCACTACGGGGAGCTGGAGCTGATGTACTCGATGCTCAAGAGGTCCCCGAACGGCCTGCCCGCCGCGATCGCGGTGCTGAGGGACAACATCACGGAGACCGGGACCAAGATCATCCAGCAGAGGGTCTCCACGTCCTCGGACTCGATGCAGGTGGTGAACCAGCTCATCGAGGAGCGGGCCTTGTACGACACGGTCATCAGGGAGTCTCTCCACGGGGACAAGGCCTTCTCCAACGCCATCCAGCTGTGCTTTGAGAAGGTCCTGAACAGCAACCCGGCGACCCCGGAGTACCTGTCCGTGTACCTGGACGCCAACCTGAGGAAGGACCTCAAGGGCAAGGCGGACGAGGAGGCCGAGGCCATCATCGACCGGGTGATGACCCTCTTCCGGTACCTGCACGAGAAGGACGTGTTCGAGAAGTACTACAAGCAGCACCTGGCCAAGAGGCTGCTGTCCGGGAAGCTCTCGATGGAGGACCACGAGAGGACGGTGATCCTCAAGCTCAAGACGGAGTGCGGGTACCAGTTCACGTCCAAGCTCGAGTCCATGTTCAACGACATCAGGACGTCCCAGGACATCATGCAGGACTACAAGAACCACCACCTGGCGGCGACGGACGGCGGGGGGGAAGAGGGAAGGCCGTCGCCCATCGACCTCAGCGTGCAGGTCCTGACCACGGGGTCCTGGCCCATCGACAGGCCGAGCCAGTTCCGGGTCCCGATCCCCAAGGAGCTCCAGGAGTGCTGCACGTCCTTTGAGGACTTTTACCTCAAGACCCACTCGGGGAGGAAGCTGGCGTGGCAGACCAACATGGGCTACGGGGAGCTCAGGGCGGGGGGGTTCGAGGACGGCAAGAAGCACGAGCTGTGCGTGACCACGGTGCAGATCTGCGTCCTCATGCTCTTCGACGGGGAGGACGGGGGCGGGCCGATCGGGTACGGGGACATCCGGCGGAGGCTGGGCCCGGACCTCCCGGAGGCGGAGCTCAAGCGCACCCTGCAGAGTCTGGCGTGCGTCAAGGGCAAGAACGTCCTGGTGAAGACCCCCTTGGGCCGGGACATCGGGGACGCCGATGTGTTCGAGTGGAATGTGGGGTTCCGGAGCAAGCTGTACAGGATCAAGATCCAGCAGATCAGGGGGGTTGATGAACGAGAGGAGAGGGGCGGGGTGGGGGTGACGGGGGGGGTCGGCGGCGGTTTGGGGGGAGCGAGGAAGATGGTGGAGGAGGACCGCAAGCCCCAGATCGAGGCCGCCATCGTGAGGGTCATGAAGTCCAGGCGAGTGATGCAGGTCAGCGTCCTGGTGGGCGAGGTCATTGGGTTGGTGAAGGGCACGTTTAGGCCGGAGGTCGGCATGGTCAAGCAGAGGATCGAGAGCCTCATCGACAGGGAGTTCCTGGAGAGGGACGAGGGGGACTTTAGGAGGGTGAGGTACATCAGTTAAAGGTTGTGTGTGTTTTGGATTGGTTTTAGGGGGTTGGGGGCAAGGGGGGTCACAACATTGTAATTGCAAGACAACTTCCATCCGACTTCATGTTCATCCGTTTCGTACTCGCCCGTTATGATTCAGCTCAAGCTGAACAGGCAGGAGGAGCAGAGGAAGCTCGAGGGGTTGGGGAGGGAGGACCTGCCTGCTGGTGTAACCAGATCATCCAAAGTTCGAGCGATATGGGGATCTGGACCAAGGACTTGAGGACGAAGGCCGGGCTGCAGCAGCCGCAGGTCGCGAAGATCCTCAAGTTTCTCGAGCAGAGGAAGCTGATCAAGTCGATCAAGTGGGTGACGAACAGGAACAGGAAGGTGTACATGGCGTTTGACGTCCAGCCCAGCACGAGGAGGTGTGTGACCTCCTTTTCGAGTTGCCTCATAACAAGTCCCCAGTCCCAATCACATGGCGGATCCTGGCTTCGAGCTCACTCAGTTTTAGATGTCCTCCTCCGACTCCTCCCCTGGTTTCGCTTGCTCCGTATCCACCTCCATATTGTTCTCGTCCAGCAGGAGCATTGGATTTTTTTCCACCCAAACCTCCTCGTCCAGGTCGATGTCCATCGTCCTCACCGTCTTCACGTCCGTGCTCCTCAGATGAGACGAACGAGCGAGAGAAGACGCTTCCTTCTGTTTGGGCCTCCGCCTCTCCCTCTCTTCCTCCTCCGCGCGCTCCCGTCCTCGTTCCTTTCTTTCTCTCTCTCTCGTCTCGTCGTTCGCCCTCGTGGCCTCGGCCGTTACATCGTTACGATCCTTGTACAAGTAACGTCTCTCACCGAATCCTTCGCTCACGGAGCAAAAAAACGCTGTCTGCAGGATTCGAACCTACGCGGAGAGACTCCAATCGATCTCAAGTGTACATACTGTACCCAGTTCTAGTCGATCTCCTTAACCACTCGGACAAGACAGCAGGTGCTCTCAGAGTGGATTTTCCACTCTGTGCACGTTCCAAAATTTGCAAATTTGTCTATATACGCTCAAGTCCGGCGTCCCCCCTCTCCCCGCCCAACTTCCCTGTTTTGAAAATCCCTTTGTCCTTCGAGAGACGTCTCCCTTTCTGTCCATTCCTCTGTCGGACCTAAACGTCACCCGTCGTAAATCATCTTAACGGCTCCTCATTCAAACTCCCCAGCCGTCGACAGACAGAACAGAACGCGACGACCGCCGGAGCGGCTGCACGACACCAACACTTCACCGACACTTCACCGACACGACACGACACGACACGACACGAGGGTAAGCAACGACAACATCAGCAACGACGAGGACGACGAGCACCATCCCTCGTCGCTCGTCGCTCGTCGCTCCTTGTTCGCCTTGGGTCGCTTGTTTTGTTTTGTTTTTGAATCAAAAGCAAACCAAAACAAGCGACAACACCAACGACGGTGCAAGAAGAAGAAGAAGAAGAACCATCCAACGAGGAAAAGATCAACGGGCGTCGAGGGGAACCACGACGACCCACCACGACCTCCTCCTTCCTCCATCATTCTCTCTTTTTTTGAATCCACCCACAAAAACAAACAAACAAACAAACAAACAAAAAACTAACTCCATTCCATTTTCATCCATCCTTCCCATCCTGCTCCCACCGCCACCAAAAAAAGAGAAAAACGTGAAAAACGTCAAGAAGATGGACGACTACATGAAGCTGGAGAAGGTCGGGGAGGGCACTTACGGCAAGGTGTACCGCGCCAAGGACCTCCGCAACGGCAGGGTCGTCGCCCTGAAGAAGACCCGCCTCGAGATGGAGGAGGAGGGCGTCCCCTCCACCGCACTCAGAGAGGTAAGCGATCCTCCGTATCCAAACACGAACAAGCTTCTTCTTCTACATCCTCCTTCTATCTGTCACTGACCCCATTCATTCCCGATTTTCCTTCCTTCAATCCTCTTCTTCTTCAGATCTCCCTGCTGCACATGCTGTCGGAGTCGGACTACGTGGTGAAGCTTCTTTCCGTCGAGCAGGTGGAGGAGAATAACAAGCCGGTGCTGTACTTGGTGTTCGAGTACCTGGACACGGACTTGAAGAAGTACATGGACCTCACCGGCAAGGGTCCGAACGCGACGCCCGTGCCGATGGACATCGTGAAGCGGCTGATGTTCCACCTCGTCAAGGGGATCACGCACTGCCACCAGCACGGCGTGCTTCACAGGGACCTCAAGCCCCAGAACCTCCTGGTGGACCGGAGCAAGCTGGAGCTCAAGATCGCGGACTTGGGTCTGGGGAGGGCGTTCAGCATCCCCCTCAAGTCGTACACCCACGAGATCGTCACCCTGTGGTACAGGGCTCCCGAGATTCTCTTGGGTTCCTCGCTGTACTCCACGCCTGTGGACATGTGGTCCATCGGTTGCATCTTCGCCGAGCTCGTGAGGAAGACTCCGCTCTTCCCAGGCGAGTCCGAGGTCCAGCAGCTCCTGCACATCTTCAAGATCCTGGGGACGCCGGACGAGAGCGTGTGGCCCGGGGTGTCCAAGCTCAAGGACTGGCACGAGTTCCCCCAGTGGAAGCCCCAGAACCTCAAGACGTTCTTCCCGACCCTCGAGCCGGAGGGCCTCGACCTGCTGAAGAGGTGCCTGGTGTACGACCCCAAGGAGAGGATCTCCGCCAAGGAGGCCATGGCCCACCCCTTCTTCAGGGAGCTGAAATGAAGTGAGGAGGAGGAGGATTAGGAGGACGAAAAAAATGAACGACTTGAAGCTGAACGTCGTGCACCTAAATCAATCATGTAGACTCTCTCTCTCTCTCTCTCTGTCTCTGAGAAGCAGGGGAAGAAGGAGAAGAAGAACCGTCGAGCACGCTCAGTCTCAGTGTGTGTATTAATATATACCCTTTGCTGCCTTTTTGCTGCCTTTTGTCGTCGTCGAGAGGATCGAAGCTGATGATGATGATCGAGCGCGGGAATATGAATATGAATATGGAGGAAGAGGACGAAGAAAAAAGTAGGAGGAAACAAGAAGTCGTCGACGACGACGACGGCGACCACGTTGCAGGCTTTAGAAGGAAGAATAAAGGAGCACAAGAAAATTCCATACTCCCCAAAGCCGCAGAACTCTGCGAATTCCATTCCTAAAAAAAAAAATGAAAACGACGATCCTAAGCCGATCGATCCTAAAGATCAATCCTAAAGATCGATCCTAAAGATCGATCCTAATCCTATGCGGCTCCTAACTATCCTAAAGGTGAGCCCTAATCCTTAGCGATCCTTAGCGATCCTAGCCGATCCTAAACACCCATCCTAATCCTAAGATCGATCCTAAACACCCATCCTAAAACCTAAACACCCATCCTAAACACCCATCCTAAAACCTAAGCCGATCCTAAAGATCATTCCTAAAACCACCACTCGTTCGTCCTTTCGAGTCCTCACCACTCGAGAGGAAGATAAAACACCAATGAAAGACCCAATCAAGAGAGAAAGAAAGTTCTCAAGTTAACCTTGCCTCCTCATCCTTCGTTCGAGCTTTCCCACTCAAGAAATGCCACCCCTGAGTGAGGAGCAGCAGGGTGCGCCTAATCCGATCCTAATGCCATCCTCTAAACAAACAAACACACGATTCCTAAGTTCCTAAACCCATCCTGTAACCGATTTCAGGATTCCTTCCTAACGCACGCCGTCCATCCTCAAGAATCCTGGGCTTTATCCTAACACTTTGCCCTAACACGCTCGCTCGCTTGTAGCAACAACTTGTATCATCGAGCTGTCTAGTCTCTCTCTCTCTCTCTCTCTCTCTCTCTTCTGCAGTGCTTCTTCCTCCTAATCCGGTGCTTCCTCCTCCAGTATGGTCTCCTCTCCTCTCCTCCTCAATCATCATCTCTCTCACAGACACAGACACAGACAGGCAGCGAGCCCAGCAGCACCAAAGACACCCGGTCCTCCGTTTCTTGTCCGTGCTGGTGCAGGTTAGTCCTCATCCGTTCACTCCTCCAGCAAGCCATTCATCCATTGACCTCAGCAGCAGCAGCTCTCTCTCTCTTCTCTCTCTCTCTTTCCTTCACGATGAAGTGGACAAAGTTGAAGTTGAAGATGAAGTTGAAGATGATGCCACCAACACTTTCACCACCACCACCACAAACATCATCATCATCATCATCACCATCACCACCAAGGTTCACTTGGAAGCAGCACGGAGCACGGCGACACGGGCTCGTTGTCTCCGTCTCCTCCCGCCTCCAACCAACCGCCTGCTCCTCCTCCAATCATCATCATCCTCATCCTCATCAACTTATTGCCGTCGTGCTGTGCCGTCCGCAGGGCGCGAGGAACGTGGGAGCGGTGGCGAGAAGCATGGCAAACTTCGGTCTGTCGGATCTCAGGATCGTTTCCCCGATGCGGACGGTGACGGAGGCGTGGGACGCGGAGGCTGTGCCGTATGCGGTGTTCGCTGAGGATGTCCTGGACCAAGCCAGGACCTTCGGAAGCCTCAGGGAGGCATTGGGGGACTGCGGGCTCGTGCTGGGAACGGGGGCGACGTCCAGGAAGGGATTGCAGGCGCTGAGCCCGAGGGGTGCGGCCGAGGGGGTCATCGCGGAGGCGGTCGCCGAGGGGACCAAGGTGGCCCTCGTCCTGGGGAACGAGAGGTTTGGCCTGTCCAGGGAGGAGGTCAGCCTTTGCAGCCACACCATTAACATTCAGACCAGCGTGCCGAGCAAGACGAAGAACAGGAGCACCTCTGAGCACGTCAACAGCTCGCTGAACTTGAGCCACGCGGCCGCGATACTGTTCTACGAGGTGTTCACGTCGTCCCCTCGGCGCCCCCTCGGCGCCCCGGAGCAGTCCACCAAGCCAAGCAGGCCGCTCCCCCTGAAGGCCAAGCTCAAGCTCAAGGACCTCTTGTACCGGTCCAGGAGGCTGCTGGACGTCGGCCCCCCGGCCGGCCACCAGCTCAGGGACGACGAGGAGAGCCTGACGAGCCTGGTGGCCAGGAACGCGCTCAGCGCAAAGGACGCCTCCGTTCTGTTCCAGATCTGCAAGAGGCTGGAGGTCCTCTCGGGGTCGAGGATGAACGGCTTGGGGGAGGCCCTCGTTGACCGAGTCGGCGACCACCCTCTGTCCGCGGTGGCGCCTGAGCTCTCCCTCTCCAAGGACGAGCTGGCGTGGCTGGAGAGGGAGCTCCACATGAAAAGAGATCAGCAGCAGCAGTAGCAGTTGTCGTCATCGTCGTCGTGAAATGAAATCCACTCGCCTCGCTTGGCTGGAGAGGGAGCTCCACATGAAAATAGATCAGCAGCAGCAGTCGTCGTCGTGAAATGAAACCCACTCGCTTCGCTTCGCTTGACTTCACTTTGCTTCATCCAACGATTGTACACATATCTATATCTATATCTATATCTATATATTATGATGATGCTCCATTCTCTCTTTCCAGCACGATCAAGTCCTTCCGAAAGTTTCGCAGGATTCGTAGCGTCTCCTCCCCTGCCTCCCCCGCCTCCTCCTTCGTATCATTCATACTCATATTCATACAATAATACACGGTGTCGCTCCAGCCGCCGATCCTCCTGCTGCCCACCGGGATCCTCGGCAACTTCAGCAGACCGCCGAGCAGCGCCACGTCAAAGAACTCGAAAAAGTACTTGATGCGGTTCGGCCGGACGAGCTCCAGGGGAGCCTCCGCGCTCAGGGAGAGGCCCGCCCTCATTCGTATGGTGTTCACGATGGTCCCGGCCTCCGTGTCGACGACCTGAAAGATGGGATGATCCTCCTCCCTCGAGAGGAAGGGATCGAGGCTCTTCGTGTCCTTCTCGGTCGTGTACAGGACGTTCCACCTGCCGCTCACCTCCCCCGTGGACCAAGGGTCCACCCTTTCGTCCTCCAAGAGAAAACCCTCCAGCACCCTGCACTGCTCGTCGATGGACTTGGCCTGCTCGGCCGTGGCCCCGGCCCCTCGCCTCGTTCCCGCGATGAGCGAGCG